TGAACAAAACCAGATTGCACTAAAATACTGGTAAAAGATACTAGAGAGTCATGGAGTGTCTATGTGGTACTTGGCCCAGAAGCTGTGGCTGAAGGAGAGGGAATTGGTCTGTGTGAGTCTCCCCTGGAGTTCAGCTGTGCTGGCCAGACCTGCCCCTGCTGTGTGCAGGTGTGTTGGTTAATTTTTGAAGCTGTGTTGGAAATCTTAGAGATCTTTTCCTTAAAGGATGTTTCTCATCTTGAGTTACTAGGAAGGTAATAAATACAGTCCAGATTGTCTTCTGAGGGAGATCCTGCCCAGCCTGGAGCTCTAGCAGTAGGGACCTTGATTCACTTGGATGTCTTGTCTTCCAACCCCCACTAGGTTCAGGAAGTGCAGGAAAATGCCAAGAAGGGTTAAAAAAAAGCCCAGTGGAGATGAGTTTGGAACTGAGTGTGCAGTGATGACTGAGCCAAGCACTTTAGGTCAATGGTTTTGTTATTTTGCTTGGTCTATGTAGCATCCTTTCATTGGGAATTATAAATTATTCCTGTGGTAATAACTGTATTCAGGAGCTGTAAGTGCCTGCTCTGGCATGGCTTGCTTGCTTGCTTTTCTTTTTTATTAGGAATGAAAATTAGCTGGGAATGAGGAGATAATGTATGGCCTCATATCATAAAAGTTGCACTGCTTGATAAGATTTCAAGGTTAGAACAATGATACCATTGAAATATCTGTTGTAAACTACCCCAGATAATTCAAGCAATAGAAATGCTGCTTTTAGCTATGTAAATAGGGTAATAGACTGGAATGCAGTTTCTAGATGTATTAAATGTTTGGGTTATTTTATAGTTGAACAATATAAACAGAGAAAATGGAGCTGAAGATTAATTTGAATAGGGAAGATTTCTCTTCTGAATGGTGAGCTAGCTCAGGGATGGGCTGAGTTTGTTCTCTTTGAAAATACCTGGATTGGTAACTCCAGTGTGTCAGTGGCTGAGCAGGAGGAGAAACAGAGCTTTTTTTGTCACCATTTTTTCTCCTGACAAGAGCAGCTCTGGGGTTTTAGGAAAGGCTGATGTAATTAGGCTGAATGTTCTGCTGGTGGGATGCTGGCCAGGGCTGCCTTGAGTCACGTCTAATGACTTAAAAACTACTAATTAATTTTGAATGAACTGGAAAAAGGAGACGTGGCTTGACAAGTACTAGGTTTTGAAAGATGCTTATTGTGAAAACTTCCAGTGTAGTGATTCTGGGCAAGGGGATGAGGGAAGCTGGGAACAGCCTGGTGAGCCTGCTGGGAAAGGAATGGGGGCAAACACTGAAGTCAGGGAATGGTATGAAGCTTCTGATGCAGGGCAGAGATCCTGGGAGCTCTGGAGCTGCTCTGTAGCAGCTCATGGGAATGGATGCTGGAAACTTCTGAAATGTTTTGTTTCCATTTCCAGTTCAGTTCATTTTCAAGCAACACTATTAGACTTGTGCTAATAGTTTTGGATAGGAAGTTTACAAAGAGGAGCTCAGTGAGTGAGATGCATCCTCATGGCTCTAGAAAAGCTGCCTACTGAGCACACAGCACCTTGAATGGTGCTCCCTGGGGAAGATGAAGGGTGAGAGATAAATCAGTGGAGCATGTGCAGGTTCCAAAGGATGACACAGAAGGAACCCAAACGGAAAGGCAAGAGAAAGCAGGAAGTTAAGGGGGGCAGAGGTTGGTCTTGTGCCAGTCTGAGAACTGCAGGCAGTGGGAAAGTTCTAGGTTTTGGTTGGTTTATTCCTGGCAGAAAAGGTGACATCTCCTCCTTCCTCTCAGGACATCCTATCTCCTGTTACCTCTTCAGCCAGTGGTAGCTGCAGTCTTTACCTCACCCTCCTCTCCAGAGATAGTTAATGGTCTGGTTCTGCTTATGTCTGTGCTGGGAACTCACACCATGATTGAGGTTCCTCTCCTGTGTCATCTTAGGAGTGATCTGAGCAGGCCTTGGGACAGGGATGTTTGAGGCAGGCTGAGGAGCCCTCCAGGTGCAACTGCCATAGAATAACCCTAATTCCTTTCCTCTGCCATAAAATAAGATGACGATTTGGCAGCTGTTCAAGTCAAGACAAATAAACTGCTCTAAATTAATCATGGAAAGGAACAGACTTAGCTACAAAATTACTAACAGGACCTTCTATTTATCTGTACAAATCTGGTCCATGGCTGCATTCATTTCCATACAATCACTGGAAAATACTATGTTGATTGCTGGGAACAAAAGCTTTTGTGGGGAGAAGAAAAATCCATGCTACTAATCTATGGTGGAATTGGTAAATGGGTAAGACAAAGCTTTAATAATATTATTCTGTGCAACATCTGATGTAAATAACACTGTTCTGTTAATCTCTGCAGCACTCGGAGTCTGGCTGGTAGAGGAAGCCAAGTATGAGCAATAATATTATCATCTCTTCTCAAGAATGTTGGAGTGGAATCACAAATCCATGGCTGTGCAAGCAGTTGCTGCACCAGCCCAGGGACTCACCCCAGGGGGGCAGGGACAGGAGGGTTTGCGGGGGCAGCCCTGGGCTCTGTACCCACCTCTTTGGGCTCCCACCACAGCAGGTGCTTGAGGGGCTGGTGAAGCTCTGGGAGCACAGGTGGGGTGTCCTGTGACTCCTCTCCCTCCCTCTCCAGGGGAAGGTCCTGACCAAATCCATCCTCTGCACAAGTGCCCCAAAGGCACGGCTGACAGGTCCTCCTGCAGGCAGCTCTGCTGCTCATGCCCAACATGAGGTGTTTGTCTCCTGCAGAGGTGCATCAGCCTTTTTTATTTTTAGAAAAAACCCCTCAAACCTAAAGAAAAATCAAGGCTCCAGCACCCCCGCAGAATCCAAGGTGATCAAGGAGTTAAATATTGCCTCCCCAAGAAGGCATGTGTGCGTGGTCTGTCCTGTGACAAGGTATTAGTTAAGGCAGCCAAATGAAGCAGAATTTTTAAATGAAATCATGTTTTTCAAGTCTGATTTTAAGATACGATGCAGGTCAGGGTTGTCTTCTTCACAGTTCATTAAGTAGAGAGCAGCTAGTGTTAGAGATTGACTTTTAAAAATGATAGATTTTTATTTATAGTGAAGTTCTAGTCATTAATTTTAAAGGAAGGAAGCATAAAAGCTGGAATGGGTTGTTCATTTTTTTAAAAAAAGTGACATTTGTAATTTAATTAAATTGGGGTTTTGAGTATCATTACAGAAAATGAAACGTTAGCTCTACACTGCTGCTCAACCCAGGCAAGGCATTTGGTAGCATCCCCTGACTTGCAAGACCTGCCTGGTCATTAATATTTCTGTGTGAAAGTTGCTGCTGAACTTCCCAGCTCCAGCCAAGCTGAGGAAGAATGTAAATAGTGGTGGGGGGGAAAGGGCCAAGGGATGAGATCTGGTCTGTCAGAGCTTGGGGATGTGCCCCCCGTGCTGGGTGGGGAGGCTGGAGCTCAGGGCTGTGTCCTCAGGTGCTGCCTGTGCCCTGCTGGGGCTCAGGGCTGTGGGGGGAGCTGGGCAGCTCAGCAGAAGAGCCCCCCAGGAAAAGCTGAGGCAGAGCAGGAGTCCAGACGTACGTGCCATTAAAATTCATCAGGTTTCAGGGGGTGAGGTTGCATTTAATCTGGAAGTGGGCTAACTAGGAAACAAGTTGTCTGGTTGCAGGAAGCCTAATCCTGTATTCATGGCAGATTAGTCTCCATTTCCCTGCCCAGGGAGGGATCCTGTCCCTGCATCTCTGCAGAGCTCTGCCCTGAGGAGGCAGCTGGGGATGGAGCAGGGAACCTTCAAACCCTCATCCCACAGCAGGGCAGGAATGTGGTGTCTTTGCATCAGTTACTTCAGGGATTTATGTTTCATTTCACCTGCTTATGCACAGTTTTGATTGTATTTTACTCTGCTGCATGCCATGTGTGCTAGCATATCATTTTCCTTTTATTCTCCCTCTCCACTTGGCAGGGCTGCAGACCAAACCTCTCTTTGCTCATAGAAATTTGTCTGGTTTCGTTCATGCCCCTGACAAAATTGTTTCCAATGATAAACCATCACTCAGCTTTGAATGACCATGTTTGCCTTCCTCGGATGTTTCAGCCTTAATGAAAAAGAACTATAATACAAGATGCTGCACAAGGGCCTGATTCAAATTTGATGAAGTCATTCTTAGTCTTTTGGTTGTCTTCACTGCCTTTTATATCGTGCTTTAAAACCATAATTTGAGTGGATCTTTTTTTGGAGAGGCTCATGGGAACCTGTAGAGTTTTATTTAATTCTCTGAAACTGCTCTACATAGGCATTGGTCGAAGATTTACTAGAATTTTAGCTATAACTTCATCTTGCATTAAATGATTGCATATTCCTTCTGATGCAAGCTCCTGCTAAGGGTGTTTTGCCCTCAGTGGAGCTGAGCCCAGCTGCACTGTTCTGAGGCTGCTGTGATGCATGTGTGTGAAATCAGGATTAAACACACAGTGATATGAAGTATAAATCCTCATGGGCTGAAATGTTGCTCTTTTGGTCAGGGCAATCGTTGCTATATTAGAGGTTTTCTGTCTTCTGGGTGGTTCTGAGGCATAACACAGCCCTGCTGACATTGCAGGGCCTTCAGGGAACCTGCTAAAGGTCTGTGGGAAACCTGTTCCCAATAGGGATGTAATCTCTGGGTTCTAATCAATTGCAGTTGTGTTAAAGGGGTGGAACTTTTGGGCTGTGGGAAAGAGGAGCCTTATTTAGAAATGGGTGAAGTGGCTCAGGAAAGAGTGGATCCTTTCCCTGACTCAGTTGCTTGGGGAATGATGCTGCTTCCTGACATACAGGTGTGTGTCCTGGGAGAAACAGCTCTTCAGTGCCAGCCCCAGCTGGCCTCGGGAATTCTGCTGCAATCCTTGTGTTTTGTGGTGAATTGCTCTTCCCGTTTCATGTGATGCATTTGCTTGGGGAGCAGCCCCGGGTTCCTCACCCGACAGCTCCCCCACGACCTGTCCCTAACCAGAAGCTCCTTTCTTTGGCAGTGCTTCCCAGCCACACGTGTGGGAACCCGGGCAGGCTGCAGAACGGGGTGCAGCAGGGAACAACCTTCAGCATTGGGGACAAAGTGAGGTACAGCTGCAACCCAGGCTTCTTCCTGGAAGGACATGCCCTGCTCACCTGCCACGCCAGCTCCGAGAACAGTGCCTCCTGGGATTTCCCTCTTCCCTTCTGCAGAGGTAAAGTGCCCTCTCTTCAGCTGGAACGAGTCACAATAAGACAGGATTTAATGTGCTATTTGGGGTTGGGAAAAGCTTCACGGGCTGTAAGCTTGATTTAAAAGACTTGAAAACTAAACACGATGTGGTTAATATTGAGGTTCCTTTTTAGTGGATTTCTTCAAGCTGCCAGGATTTGGGTGAATAATAGGAAGGTTATGAAGTGCTTAAAGTATTCAAAGTGCTGCACAGCTACTTTATCTTTAATTTCTTTGTCTAAAGTGGAAGGCAAAAAATAAAAAGTAGAAGTATTACCCATAAGATAAGGCACCTACCCAAGACCATGAAGGTTTTCTAGATCAAACACCAGAAGATGAGGCTGGATTTTCTGCTCTCTGCAATGTCAGGGACATTCCACAGTGATCCTGCTGCTTGGCGAGAGGAGCAGTGAAGGCTGCAGGGTGCTGGGGTGCTCAGCTCCAGGGGGGCTGCTCAGCTCCAGGGGGGCTGCAGGGCTGGCCAGCTTTCCTGCAGGCCTCCTGGGGCAGGGAAACTGGCTCCTTCAGAAGCACAAAGAGCTGCTTGCTACTTTTCCAGGGCCACAAGGGACTAGAGAGTTTGTAAATATACAAGTGTCTGTGTTGTTATACCAGAACAGTTGCTGCTGCTTTGAAGTCTTTTCCCCTCAATTCCTTGTGTACTTCACCAGAGCATCTTCTATTGATTCTTTTTATTGACTCTGTGCAATCAATCAGCAGTTCTAAGCTGTAGCATAAATCTTGAATTTAAAGTGAGCAAATATTGTTTGCTTGGTGTTTTTAATGCTTGCTTGGATGAGTTACACAGCAGTAACATGTGCCACTTTGGCTGCTCCTGTGTGCTTACCTGCTGCTCTGGGGCCAGGGAGCCCTGCAGTGGGGGGGTGGCTCACACAGCCAGGCTGGCCCTGGGGAGGGACACCTGCCCCTGCCATTTGAGTGTGATCAAGTATGATTCTTTGCTTTTCTTTCCAATTAGGGCTCTTCATTGTAACCTTTCAGATTTATTTTTTTTTCTCATTTCACTGGAAGCATTTGCTTATCTTGGGAACAGCCTTGTCTAATGCCACTGCAAAGGTCAGTGCTCAATTTGGGGACCCTGCCCTTTCCTTCTTCCCCTCCCCTCCAGCATCACGGCAGAGGAATGAGACAAGTGTTGAGAACAGTGTCAGTTTGTACCATGCTGATCAATATCCTCTTCTAGGTTTTTTAATGCTCTTTTCTTTGTGCTTGTCTTCCCCTTTGTAACATCCCTTTCTATTTATTGGTAGCTTTATCTTTCTTGCTGTCCTGATGCATTGAAATAATTGAAGATGCAAAGAAATGGTAGCCAAGAATAAGAAAGAAAGGACAGCACCACTTGGGAGGAGGGTTGTGGCTCAGCTTTCCCTCAGCAGTTCTGCCCTCCCTTTATCCAGCTCTGTTTTGTACAGGGTGTTGTTTTTTAATAAAGGGCAAGTGTAACTTCAATGAGAGATGAATGTAGGGAGGAATTCCAGATGCAGGAAGAATGGCTTGGTGAGATGTGTCTTTGCAGAGCAAGTAGCTGGAGCTGCAGCTCAGTGGTGGGTTTGCAAGCACACTTAGAGCAAAATTGATTCTTGGACTCTGAGCTAAAAGAGACTATAAATTCAGTCTGCACAGACTCTGAGTTACGCTTCTTGCTTGCGTGGCAGGAAGGATTAAAACTGCAGTGATCTCATGCAGGGAGCTCCAGAGCAGCAGTGACCAACATCCCTGGGCTGATCTGCAAAGCAGAAGATGGGACTTGCCCAGGAGAGGGGCTTGGCTGTGCTGCTGGGAGGAGTGTCACTGGGGGAAATGGCCTCAAGGGCTGAAAGTCTGGGTCAGACCAAAACCTGGACTGAGCTGACATCCCACCTCTATAATGTGTGTCAGAAATATCTGGGATGATTTCCTTGTTGCATCCTCTGTGTCTTTACATGCTCCCTGCACAGTTTTGTGTTCACAGGATGCCACGAGGCCCAGAACTTAACCTAAATGGGGCCCTAACTTAGTCTAGATGTTTTTATCTGGACAGCTGGTAAGCTGGAGGCAAACCCCCAGCAGACCTGGATGCTGCCTTGTGTTCTGCTGTAGCCACAGAAGGCACAACCCTCACCTGGGGTTAATTTTGAGTACAGCAGGATGGTGCATTTGAAGCACCAAAAGAATCTCTGGGCACATCCAAATCTGTTTTGTGAAGTGTTTTCCTGCATGTAGAGAGAAGTCTTGCCCAGATTGTTTGCTGAACTTAAGTAGAACTGATGGGTTTGTGGTTCTGGGAGGTGGTTGAGTAAAAATTCAAGCCAGCTGAAAAGTTGAGAACATTTGTGGAGCCACGTTTTAGGAGTATCAAATATGCATAATCTCATTAAAAGTGGTGTGTCTTACTATAACTCAAACAACTGCTTAGGCTGCGCTGTGCCCAAAATAACTGAAGGGCTGTTCAAGATTTTAAAAGATTGTAGAATTTTTTAACAGTAATAAACTCTACAGACTTAGGAAGTGGGTGTTTAGAGATGGATGGGGAGGGAATGCATCTTCCATTAAATACCTTCTGCAAGGAACATTTTTCAAGGCATTTAAATAAAAAAACCTTTCCTCTCATGGAAAACAAACCCAAACACAAACAAAACACCAGCCAACCAAACCCACCATGCCTTGGGCTGGATCTTTGGCTGGGGAAGCAGGTTAGTCCCTTGCAAACAAAAATGCAGTCCTGGTTACAAATTGCAATAGAGCCTTGAGTCAACATTTCTTAGTATCTTCTCCATTCCTTTCTGTATTTCTTATAGTACAAGAATCTTTTTTTGTATCTTTTTCTTTCTAGCATCCACAGGGATGCTTATTCATGAGAAATGAGGTTTGAACATATCAGTAAACTGGTGAATTGTGCTCATCCTGTTTGGCCAGAATCCATGCAAGTGTTTCCATTCTGTCAGAGGGAAGGGTTTGGAAATGGCCCTTTTGCTTTTTGCAGGGGCCTTGGGAGGTCCCACTGTCGAGCTAGTAAATGATGCACTGAAGTTTGAAGGATTTTCTGGTGCTTGGACTAGATTAAAGATCTTTTAGCTTGAATTTACTGATGATTCTAACTGCACTTCAGTGTCTGAACAACTTTAATTCACTGACAAGTCGATTGCAGCAAATAGATAAATTTGACTGTTGTAGTAGAATAAGAGGGAATAGAGCTCTGAGTTGGGATTTCAGTGGCCTTCTTCACTCCTAGTTTTGGCTGCTGGAAGGGCACAGCAGTGGTTGCATGTCTGCCTACGTGTCTGGTTTTTTAATCATCTTGTCTCTGCCTTCCCTGCTTGCTGGGAGCTCTGCAGCAGCCGCTGCTGTGCCATCCCAGCCCCAGCACAGAAGCAGTTGCAAAGGGCTATGATGCCCACTGGGGCTTTTAGTGGTGCCAGTGACACCAGCGTGGGGTGTTAATGCCCTAAACCAGCTCAGGGTAGCCTGGGGCTTTCCTCTTTCCCCCCATTCCCACCTCTCTCTGGGGAGCCTGTGTCAGCTGGTGCCTCTGCTGGCTGGGCTGGGCTGGGCTGGGCTGGGCAGGCAAGTGGCCACTAGAAAGAGAAGTTGGCATGTGTGTTTGTCTTACTTTGTCTTTAAAGTTTCATGAGGCTGCAAGTTTCAGCCCTGCTGATCAAACCTGCTGGCAGCACAAGACACTAATTCCTGACCAGGTCTACAAGCTGAAGGATTCTCCTGATGAGCCCTGCACCATTGTCCTGCCCTTTCCTCTGGTGCTGATGAACCATCACACTAACAAATATCCTCCCTGTGTTATATTTCTATTTGGAAGGGTTTTTTTAATAGCTTGTAATGAAAACAAGTGTTTATAATGTAAAGCCCCAAGCTCCTTGACTAAAGCATCTGAAATGCTGCTCTGCAAAACAAGCTGTAAAGTTAACAGGCTTTTCTTAGCAGTGTTCCAAATAAATGAGTGTAGAAGAGCAGAAAGCTGCCCTGAACCTAGACAAATTAATTCTGTTTCTTTTATCTTCCTATCCATGTTTTCTTTAGATCCTCCTTCTTTAATTGCTGTAATAGCTCCTGCTGATAAAATTCAGGTTGTAAAAGGAAAGAACCTGGAGCAAAACAGGAGATCCAGTGCAGAACCAGGAAATGTCACTGTTAGATGAACAAGTGCTTAACTTTTTACTGCTATGATTTTGGTAACAACAGCCATTTCCTGGAGAAATCAGAACAAACAAAGACATGTGAGGCAGGTTTGTGGGACACTCCACTCTTCTATTAGACTTCTCTTAAATGCAGTGCTTGTACTCTTAAGTCCTGTTGCCCCAACCAACCCTTGGGAGTGTTTCTGTTGCTGATGAAGGTGCTGGGATCTGTGGGAGAGTTTTCACTTGCTTCTGAAACCCTTCTCAGTCCTTGAATTCCTGGTGGTTTTCCTCCTGTTTGCTGGCTTACTTGGATGGGAGGAAAGTTACAGAAAGCACCTCAGAGGATGCTAATCAGGAATAAGGGATGGGACAGGAAACTCAAGCAATAAGGAGTAAGGAGATGGTGTCGTGACAGTGAGATGCATTAGGCTGAGAACTGCCTCCCCAGGGCAGTGGTAGAAGCTCTGTCATTTGAGGTATTTAAAATTACACTAAACAAATCACTAGTAAATGTGCAGCAGGGAATAAGCTGGCACTTAGCAGGAGATACTGACTGACCTAATAGGATTCTGCATCCCTCAACATCTTTGTCTCTTAATCGTGTGTAGTAAAGCACAGACACACACACACACGCCTCTGACAAAAGCACAGGGGCTTTTAAAGCCTTGCTTTGAATTTGGGCTTGCTCTTTTTTTGATGTGCTGCTTGGTGCATTTCAGCAAAATCTGATAACTTGCCTTCTGCTTCCAGCTGATGATGCTTGTGGAGGGACCTTGCGGGGCCAGAGTGGGATTATCTCCAGCCCTCACTTCCCCCTGGAGTACGGGAATAACGCCGACTGCACGTGGACTATCCTGGCTGAGCCTGGAGACACCATTGCTCTGGTGTTCATGGATTTTCAGCTGGAAGATGGATATGATGTTTTAGAAGTTGCTGGAACAGAAGGATCTTCACTCTGGTAGGTTCCTGCTGCCTGTACTTCATTGGGGTCTGTGTGGTCGTGTAGCTTTGTGTGCCCAGATCCCAGCTCTGTAGGGTGTTGGGAGTGAGCACAGTTTGTGCCTGAATGAGGGAAGTTCCAGTGACTCCCAGTCACAGGTTGTAGCTGCTGTTTTCTAGTGAAAATCTCTGGGATGCTTTTTATTTGCTTGGTAAACTTTGCAGTGACTGTTTTCTGTTTTGAATCACCTTCTTCTCAGTAAGATTCCTTAGTGTGGCTGGTTGGAAGACATGAAGGATTAAAAAGCCCCCACAAATGCAGTTTTTCAAAACCCAAGGAACTGCTCAAAGACTGTCAAGCTCAAATCTTGGTTTTGCTAAATCGTTTTCTGATTATTGCTAAATATGTTGCTGACAAGTTGGCTTTACTGTTAATGAACTTTTGGCAAATGTTTCTACAGCTCAGTTTGTCCTTTAGACAGGAGTCTGTGGATAGAATTTCAATACCTCTCATCCCATTGTTTGCCTGAACAATGCTTTCAGAAATATTGCTTTTATATATAATAAATGCCAGGCTGATTCCTTTCCAATATACAGTGCTGGGAAGTCTGAAGCGAGGGCTGGCAGGAGGAATTTGACATATTGCTGAGGCTGCTTTTATAGCAAAGGACAACTCTGCCTCCAGTTGATCATCTGCACTGTGACTGCCCTCAACAAACAGTTCAGTCCCAACTAGCAGCAAATGCAAGAGAGCAGACTTAAACCTGACATACTTGGGGAAGGGAAGACTTAGGTGTTTGAAATAATTAGGTGTTTCTTGGGTTTATCATCAGGAAGCTAAATTACGATTATTTATGAGGATTCTGTGACAGCCACAAATAACATTCATTTAAGTAATTTATACTTGCTTGGCAATTACTGGGGAATAGGATTTGAATGTTCAGGATGTATTGATGTGAGAGAACAGCCATTTACCATGTACCAATTGTTTACAGTTCCCAAGATCCCTCTGAAAATTAGATGTTGCTGTTTCATTAAAAAAACCCAAACAACACAACACCCTGGTTTTATTAGCATGCATTAATATTTTAGGGCACTGTTAGTTTCTAGCCATGATGCAGTGCAGGGAGCGAGGCCCAGGCTGTGCTGTGGGGTAGAGATGGATGCAGCTGGTTAAGAAATGTGATGCAGCTGGTTAAGAAATGTGATGCAGCCTGGAGGTGTTGCCAGGGCAGCACCATGTCTTGTCACATCTGCCTGTCAGAGTGAACCTGCTGGAAAAAAAACCTATTGATAAACTACCCATAACTACAACATGGTAGGCCTTCTAAAATGGCAAAAGTGTCTAGACAATTAAGGCCTTTGAGCAGTGTGTGCATGCACATGATTTCTTTCAAAAATGAGATGTTAAAGGTAGCAAGTTTGACAGGCACCAGTGAAGGGGCCCTGTCAGAAGGAATAAGGGTGTATTTACTTCTCCCCCAAAGTGCCTGTGTGCTGTATCTTTAATTACTCCTTTCCTCCAAATGTGTGTTCGTGGGGAGCTGGATGAGCTCTGGGCTGTCACAGCAGTGGACTCTTGTTGGCACCTGCCGGGGGAGCAGGTCAGGAGGGAGACACTGCAGTGAGTGAGACGCAGGTCACAGCGACAGGAATCGCATCCAGGGCTCATAGAAGAAGCTGCTCCTGCTTTTTGAGGTTCATTCTGTATTTTTATAGCTCCGTGGAATACACACGGGCAAGATAAACACACCAGTCAATTCAAAGGGACCTCATTTAGTATTCTTGAGAAGTAAACTTCTCAGTCCCACAAGCAGAATTACAAAGAGTCTTATTTTGAATTTCATTTTTCAAAGCTGGCCTTCACAGCTCAGCCTGATAATTAAATTCAGATGACTCACTTTCCCATTTTTTTAATAATTTTTGCCTGTAGGGGAAGAAAAAACTGAAGCTCATATCTCCTCTTTAAACATGTTGATACGATTCAGCTTGAAAATACAGCTAAACCCCTTTTTTTCCTCTGTCTCTGAAAACCTAGTTTTAATTATTGGTAATAAGGCAGATAGACTTGTGGCCAAATAAACCATTCTATTGAAGTATCTTGCAGCTAAATATTTCATTTCCTAAGCTTTGTAAACAGTTTTATTCTGCTCCAGAGATGTACACAAATAAACAAAACTGGATTTCATCTGGAGGATAATTCATGTGTCTTTTCAAGCTGTGGAATATTCTGCAATGGTGTTTGCAGGAGCACTAACTCAGGGCATATTAAGTAAGCCTGGCTTGGCTTCCCCTTGCTAGAAACCTCCTGCACTGTTGTTCACCCTTTCCCCTTTAGAAATAAATGCTTTGTTGGTTTTTTTTTACAAGCCAAGTCCCCTGAACCCTCCTGCCTGCAGCCCCCCAGCCCAGCTCTGCACACGCAGCTGCTCCCTGGGAATCCTATTCCCAGGCTCATTTGCTCCCCGAGCTGTGGGATGAGAGTCCTGCAATAAGCCATGGAAGGGAAAGGGCATTGCAGGGCTGAGCATCCATGTGTCAAGCAGAGCAATAGAGGCTGAGTAGCTATTTGAGACATACTAATAAAGCAGCCCATTTACAGCTCGTTGCTGCTGGTGCATTGTCAGTCCTGGGACCTCAGGTCTCCATTGCCTTGACAGGTGAGAAATAAAAGTCTGCTGAGCAGAGAACAGGAGGGGAAGAAAGGGGCAGAGTGAAACTGCCTGTCAAAGTAGACAGGACGATGGAGGGGTCTCCAGGCTAGAAAGAAGAACTGGAAGGAAGGCAGTAGCTGCTGCACTGCTCTCCTTTGGGATGAGCTGGGGGTCCCATTCTGCTCACAGTCTCCTCTGCTGGAGCAAGGGTGTGCTGGGTGTGCAGAGGGATAACACAAGGTTTATGTTCTCTTATGTCATTATTCCCTGACAACTTCTTGTCTTGGGGGGTTAATGAAATTCTTCTCTATAAATACATGTAAAAGAGCAAATCCCTCCGAGTGGCCTGGGCTCCTGTCCCTGCAGGGGCTGAGCTCTGCTCATCGTGTGCTCAGTGTCAGGATCTGATCTGAGCTCCCTAAATCCCTGGGCTCACACTTCCCAGGGATATCTGCTGATTGGTGGCACCTGGTTTAAAGCTTTCTTCAGTGCTGAGCATCCCCGTGGGCACTCAGCTGAAACACCAAAGTCTTTCAGACTGAGCACCAGAAATGTCCCAAGACTGTGTGTGGTGACAGGCTGGTCCTGAGTGGCACTGAACCTGCTCTGTGGCACAGGTGTCCAAGCCTTGTCTTCCCTGTGATAGCTCAGGGATTGCTCTGAAGCTTTGGGTAGGTTTGACTTTTTTTTAAATACTATCTTTGATCTCCTGCATATTTTTCTGTGAGTCCTTGGGTGAGTTGTTGGGGGAAGGTTGAGGTGACAGGCAGCAGGGTGCTGCAGCTCTGTGCCCCTGGCTGTGCCCTTCTGTCACACCTCCAGCATCCACGTGGCCCCTGAAGGTTTAGAGAAAGCAGAAATGTGCTGGGCAGCAGTTGTGCGGCTGCCCTGTGAGCACAGGTGAATAAAAGGGAGGTGGTTGTTGTGCCTGGGGGCAGGAGGTTGTGCACAACCAGGGGAAATCCCATTGGTGCAGTGGCAGGGCAGGCAGAGCCTGGGGATGTGCCTGCCTGTCCCTGGGCCTCCTTTCTGTCATCTGCTCAGATCTCATCTGCCTGGTCTGGGACCTGTAGCTGGTATTAGGCATAATGACTTGTATTATGATTATTAAAGCATTATTCTGCAGTTGCCAGAAAAGGTGGTGATGTAGGAAATGACTAAGAATCCAATTTCTGTGTGTGTTTACAGGAACTGGTGAAGATGAAGTGTACATTCTGCTGGCTGGAATGCAAATATTTAGCAGAGAAGGGCTTTGCAGCCATCCCAGTGTAGCTGAAACAGGAGAGAGGGGTGCAAGGTTGTTCTTGGGTTGTTCACAGCCACGTGCCATGGGGTTAGTTCCTTTAGAGCAGGGGTTTTGGAAGTTGTGGGAATATAGGGAGACAGCCCAATGCTTGCCTGTAAAATTTCTTTTATGCTTGTGAGTTGGAAAATAAGAGAAAGTAGAGACACTGGAAGTTTCAGCTGCCTGCTGAGCAGGTAATGAGCTTGGACTGCCCTTCCTCCCCACCAATGTTTGGTGCTCCACAGCATTTCATTCCACCCATGAACTATTTAGGAGCCTCTGCTGCTGCCAAAGGAATTAGTTCCATGAGATAAAACTAACAAATATCTCATTTGTCTGACTATGACAGACTGGTATGTTTTGAAGGTTCATTAGGTGCTTCTAAATTTCAGACAGGAAATTTACTGATTTGGAGATTACTTTAATAATGAGGCTTTTCAAATCTTCTTTAGCTAAGTTGCATATTGCAACTGTATTTTGTAGATTATGATAATCCAAATTGGTAGGGCAGACTGGGCTTTTTAGCTGGGAAAGGTGCTCCTGTTGCTACTGCATCATGGTGTGGTGCTTCTCAGATAAAAACCACTACAGTACGTGAAGGGTCAGAACCTTTTGGGGTTGTTAGGTTCTAGTGCAGCAATTAACTCTCTTCCCCCTTGTCATCCATAACCTTATTTCACATGATGCTTTTGCTCCAGCTCAGCTGAAGCAGTGTTACCTGGCAGAGCACCTTGCAGTCCCATGCTGAGAAGATGTTGACCTGCAAATGAGATTTGCTTTTGAGTTGCTACCTTCATTTGCCACTTGGTCCTTGTTTTTCTATCCAATCTTTGAGCTTTCTTAGCCTGATGTACAGAAACCATTTATAGCTTGGGAGTGGAAACTGCTCCAGTTGTTCATCCTTTTCCTCTGTGCAGTCCAGTCTGTGCCCAGCCTTGGAATTGCAACCCACTAGTTTATTCCTGGCTGAATCTGGTTCCTCCTCTTCAGTGTCTGATCCTTCACTTTGCCTTTTCAGCTGTATTTTGCTCACCTTGCATGGATGTTTTCCTTCCCAGGACTACTTTTGCAATTATTTTG